AAATGCTCCTAATAGCTTTTTTTCCCAGCTTTTTTTTCTGTAAATGTACTGTAAAAATGCTAATAAAACACTAACGCTCCTACATGCTTCTAAATGTTGTGAACACTACTAAGAACATTACTAAAACACTATTAAAAAAGGCTATTACCAGTGTTTTTTATCCAGCTTGTTTTCCATCGTTTTTTGAGCTTAAAAAAATGCAAGCATGCATGGAGCTTTAGTGTTCCTCTTATAATGTCTGTAATCGTCTATGTGTGCATAGACACATAGGCTAACACAGAGATTTTTCAGGTTGAAAAAAAAATGCCAAATTCCCATAAAAGCAGTGTTTTTTAAGCCCAGGGTGCATGAGGCCTGGGCTTAAAAAAACCCCCTAGTTCCCTTGGTAGAAAAAAAAAAAAACACTATAGAGCGCTTTTGTACAGGAGTTTAGCAGCTTCTATGTGAGTTTAGCAGCTTCTATGTGAGTTTAGCAGCTTCGGGGAGCGTGTAGCAGCTTCGGGGAGTGTGTAGCAGCTTTGAGGAGAGTGTAGCAGCTTCGGGGAGCGTGTAGCAGCTTCGAGGAGCGTGTAGCAGCTTCGGGAAGCGTGTAGCAGCTTCGGGGAGCGTGTAGCAGCTCCGGGGAGCGTGTAGCAGCTTCGGGGAGCGTGTAGCAGCTTCGAGAAGCGTGTAGCAGCTGCAAGGAGAGTGTAGCAGCTTCTGGGAGAGTGTAGCAGCTTCTGGGAGAGTGTAGCAGCTTCGAGGAGCGTGTAGCAGCTTCGGGAAGCGTGTGTAGCAGCTTCGGGGAGCGTGTAGCAGCTTCGAGGAGCGTGTAGCAGCTTCGGGGAGCGTGTAGCAGCTTCGGGGAGCGTGTAGCAGCTGCGAGGAGCGTGTAGCAGCTTCTGGGAGAGTGTAGCAGCTTCTGGGAAAGTGTAGCAGCTTCTGGGAGAGTGTAGCAGCTTCGGGGAGCGTGTAGCAGCTCCGAGGAGCGTGTAGCAGCTTCGGGGAGCGTGCAGCAGCTTCGGGAAGCGTGTAGCAGCTGCAAGGAGAGTGTAGCAGCTTCTGGGAGAGTGTAGCAGCTTCTGGGAGCGTGTAGCAGCTTCTGGGAGCGTGTAGCAGCTTAGAGGAGTGTGTAGCAGCTTCTGGGAGCATGTAGCAGCTCCAAGGAGCGTTCTGTAGCAGCTTCTGGGAGCGTGTAGCAGCTTCTGGGAGAGTGTAGCAGCTTCTGGGAGAGTGTAGCCGCTTCGGGGAGCATGTCGCAGCTTTGGGGAGCGTGTAGCAGCTTCTGGGAGAGTGTAGCAGCTTCTGGGAGCGTGTAGCAGCTTCGGGGAGCGTGTAGCAGCTTCTGGGAGAGTGTAGCAGCTTCTGGGAGAGTGTAGCAGCTTCTGGGAGAGTGTAGCAGCTTCTGGGAGCATGTAGCAGCTTCGGGGAGAGTGTAGCAGCTTCGGGGAGTGTGTAGCAGCTTCGGGGAGTGTGTAGCAGCTTCGGGGAGCGTGTAGCAGCTTCGAGGAGAGTTTAGAAGCATCTAGTGTTTTTTTTTTCTGCCAGAGAACTAAAAAATGCAAACCAGAAAGGTTTTTTTTTTTTTGCCTCTAAATTCTGAGCTTAAAATATGCCTCTAAACACCGTAATGTTAATGGACACATAGGATAACATTGAGCGGCTTCTACAGGCAAAATGCAAAAACTTCTGTAGAAGCAGCAATTTTAATATAAATTTTTTATGCTGTCAAGTTGAGCTCCATTCACACCTTTTAATGTCCAGTAAGGCATCTTATGTCAACATGACAAAACGGACAAAAATCAGGTGTAGTCTTCTTTTGGGGGAGTTATGAAGAATGACCTCCTCAAATAGGATATTGGACTAAACCTGTAGGTAAATAAGAGAACCAGAACCTTCGCTAAGTGGAAGAGTGGCTTTGATAATATAGCTGGCAGTGGCTCCACCCAGGACAGGGCCTTTGTGAACAGAGGGGATTCCTTTCCTGGGAAATGAACCAGTAATGTAATCAAAGTAATTGGAAACATAAGAACTACTGCAACCAGCATGTAACATTAACCACAAGCATATAGATGCACACCAGTATACAAATATTATAAGCTTTATATCAGAAAAGATTTATAACAGTACATATATCCAATATACAAACATACTATCAGCAAAAGCCCAGTTGGAGTCCTGGTGGAATTGTGCACATACTGTATACCTGGGTATATACAGTATAGTTATTAATAGAAATACCTCCAGATGAATATTGCAGCTAAGCCCAGTTGCAGGGGCTCCTGAGGATGATGCAGCATTTGCCTTTGTGTCAGAGACCTGAAAACAAGATCTGCGGTCTCAGGGCTAGCCTCCAATTGTTGTCTGACCAGCCTGGAATGGGACTTCTCACCGGCAAGATCTGTGGTGTGGTACTGGAATTCAGAGTCAGCCAATATACACTGCTTTAGTCCCTCTCTAGTAGTTTATAATAGTCTAAGCTGGTCAGGGAAAAAATACAACAGCAGCAACGCCATGGACAGGACATGTGGCTTAGTTCTTTATAAAGATCTCAGAGCCCTCCAATCTTGGGTTTCTAACCCAGCTAGCAGGGGCAGGAAGTGATAAAATAACTCAATGACAGTAAGACGCATAGCCACTTACATACAGTAGAGGGTTGTCTCTGCCTTGCCCCTACAAAGGCATGAACCATTTTTAGCTATCGTGCTGTAATGCACTGAGACACTTGGGTGTTGGGGTGCTATTCAGAAAGAACGGCAATGCAGCTCACTAATGCACATGATGTCGGCGGCAGCGGCATGCATGTTACTGCAACACATAGGTGTAAATCCAGCCATAAAGCCAACCCTGTTAGCAGTTGCTAAACCTACACACTGCAAAATAGAAAAAAATATTCTTGTCACAAGTTACAAAAATGGTTTATATGACTTCTGAAATCTAAGGGTGCAGGGATGCAATAGATGCCTTCACTATAGTTGGGTGTCACATACGTCCCTATACCTTCTAAGGAGGGGTGGGCTTCCTTCAGGCACACCTACCCTTAATCTATCCATTGATATACGTGCTACTATGGAGGCTCTGGAAATTTTAGAATGAAGACCACATTATTAGACATGTGTGGTTCGTTATGTTTCAAATCGAATTTTGGATGAATATTTTTGTTATTTGGAGATTCGGAGGTATCAGAATTCTGCATGACACAAACAACGAAACTAAACGAATCTGAAATAACGCCACAAAATGTGGCCGAAATTCGATTCGAAAACAAATTTGAAAACAAAATTGAAAACAAATTTAAATTCGAAAACAAACATTCAAAATTTTTTTTAAAGTGGAGCTCCACCCAAAAGGGGAAGTTCCGCTTTAAGGACTGGTCCCCCACTCCCCATTAAGGATTGTCACCTTTGGGGAGCGGGGGGGGGGGGGAGAAATTGACAGGTACCCGCTCCCACTTCCAGAAGTTGTCCTCCCCCTCCCTCCCTGTATTCCGGGACACATGACAGGTCCCAGAAGACTACGAGGCCGTTCATAAATCGCTGCGCTTCTCACGCGCATGCGCAGTGGGCACCCTGATGTGAAGCCACAAGCTGTCACAGCCAGGTGCCCACACTGAAGATGCCATTGCTGAGAACACAGGGCAGTCAGTGAAACGGGCTGCTGGGGGGGGGGGGGGGGGGGGGGGGACACACACTGTGAGATCCAGGGAAAGGTGTGTGTCTGTTTTTTAAAAGCCAGCAGCTACAGTTTTTCTTATTGCCCCTTTGAATTTTTCCAATTCTGCGGGGATCGTTGGAGGGGTGTCACCAAGTGTTATCGCACTGGGTGACACCAACCCTAGGGGCACCCCTGATCTAGAGCGATCATTAATGCCTTCCCTAAGGTCAGCCTCATCGGCAGACGTGTTTTTTGCACGATGAACATTGCACACAGGCGAATTGTAGACAAAGCAATGTGATGTGCAGCTCTCAGAACACAATGTGCGATGTTGCTTGGTTTCCCTGGATATATTGAAAGAGTTCATGTAAAAGTGTATGCATCCTTTGAATATACAAGAGAGATTTTAGATGTGTTGCCTTGGAGGCAGAAAGGTGCTTCAGTGGGTTTTGCTGAGTTGCTGTTTCTGTGAATATGTATACAGTATACATAGGTTATGTAACCATGGATACTGATTCCTTATGGGAAATTCTCAGTGAGTGCTTTCTTGTGTGTATTAATTTGTATATATAATAAATAAATAAAAGCAGAAAATCGGCTAAACTGGTGTGAAATTCTGGATACATTATTATATTATCAAGAAACATTTGTCAGTGTATGTTTCATCGTACAAGGTACATTGCACTTCCATTTTGTTTCAAGACGTGTTTTCAGTTTGTAGCATTTGAGGTACAGTCTAGAACTTTGTTTACTAAGGCTCAGGTCACACTAGCTTTGTCAGCAGGCGTTTGGGAAGCGTTTTTAATGCTGCTCAAATGCCTATGAAAATTCTGCACATGGCAGCACACAGTGCTGTTCACACTGAAGCGTTAGTGTCGCTTTGCGGCAAAACTGACACCTCGTGTCGAGTCAGGAGGAGTTGAAGCCTCCCATTCAAGACTATGGTGCCGCTCCGCAAACAACTGCCAGGCATTTGTGTTGCAGTTGCGACCATTTGCCATTTAACTTTATTATAGGCATTTGTTGTGTGGTTTTAACGCTTGGCAAACGCCTATCAACCTCTTCAAAACCACGCATAGGGCATTTGGGGAGCGTTTGAAGAGCGTTAAAAATGCTTCCCAAAAACCTGTCTAACGCCTGTCAATCGCTACAGTGGCGTTTGGCAAGAGTTAGAAATAAAGTCAAGTGTGAACGAGCCCTTAAAGTGTTACTAAATCCCGGACCCTGCATTCACTATATCTGCTCTCCCCGGACCCTGCATTCACTATATCTGGTCTCCCCGGACCCTGCAGTCACTATATTGGTCTCCCCGGACCCTGCATTCACTATATCTGGTCTCCCCGGACCCTGCATTCATAATATCCGGTCTCCCCGGACCCTGCATGCGCTATATCTGGTCTCCCCGGACCCCGCATTCACTATATCTGGTCTCCCCGAACCCTGCATTCACTAAATCCGCTCTCCCCGGACCCTGCATTCACAATATCCGGTCTCCCCGGACCCTGCATTCACTATATCTGGTCTCCCCAGACCCCGCATTCACTATATCTGGTCTCCCCGGACCCCGCATTCACTATATTTGGTCTCCCCAGACCTGCATTCACTATATCCGGTCTCCCCGGACCATATATTCACTATATCCGCTCTCCCTGGACCCTGCTTTCACTATATCCGGTCTCCCGGACATTACTTATATCTGGTCTCCCGGACCCTGCATTCACTATATCCGCTCTCCCCGGGACCCTGCATTCACAATATCCGGTCTCCCCGGAACCTGCATTCACTATATGTGGGTCTCCTCCGGACCCCGCATTCACTATATTCCTGGTCTCCCGGACCCCGCATTCACTATATCTGGTCTCCCAGACCCTGCATTCACTATATCCGGTCTCCCCCGGACCTATATTCACTATATCCGCTCTCCCTGGACCTGCATTCACACTATATCCGGTCTCCCCGGACCCTGCATTCCCTTTATCTGGTCTCCCCGACCCTGCATTCACTATATCCACTCTCCGCTGGACCTGCATTCACTTTCTGGTCTTCCCAGACCCTGCATTCACTATATCTGGTCTCCCTGGACCTGCAGTCACTATATCCGCTCTCTCCTGGACCCTGGAACTGCATTCACTATATCTGTCTCCCCGGACCCTGCATTCACTATATCTGGTCTCCCCGGACCCTGCACATTCACTAGAATCTGGTCTCCACCGGACCCTGCATTCACTATATCTGGTCTCCAGGACCTGCATTCACTATATCTGGTCTCCCCCAAGACCCTGCATTCAACTATATCTGGTCTCCCCGGACCCTGCAGTCACTATATCCGCTCTCCTGGACCCTGCATTCACTATATATGGTCTCCAATGACCCTGCATTCACTATATCTGGTCTTCCCAGGACCCTTGCATTCACTATATCTGGTCTCCCCGGACCCTGCAGTCACATCTATCCGCTCTCCCTGGACCCTGCATTCACTATATCTGCTCTCCCGGACCTGCATTCACTATATCTGGTCTCCCGGACCCTGCATTCACTATATCTGGTCTCCCAGGACCCTGCATTCACTATATCTGGTCTCCCTGGACCCTGCATTACACTATATCCGGTCTCCCAGACCCTGCATTCACTATATCCCTGTCTCCCCGGTACCCTATATACTTCACTATATCCGCTCTCCCTGGACCCTGCATTCACTATATCTGGTCTCCCCGGACCCTTTGCATTCCTATATCTGGTCTCTCCCCGGACCCTGCATTCACTATATCCACTTCCCTGGACCCTGCATTCACTATATCAGGTCTTCCCAGACCCTGCATTCCACTATATCTGGTCTCCCCGGACCTGCAGTCACTATATCCGCTCTCCCTGGACCCTGCATTCACTATATTGTGGTCTCCCGGGACTGCATTCACTATATCCACTCTCGCCGGGACCCTGCATTACTATATCTGGTCTCCCTGAACCCTGCATTCACTACTATCTGGTCTCCTAGGACCCCGCATTCACTAAATCTGGTCTCCCGGACCCTGCATTCACTATATCTGGTCTCCCTGAACCCTGCATTCACTATATCTGGTCTCCCGGTACCTGCATTCACTATATCTGGTTCTCCCCCTGACCCTGCATTCACTATATCTGGTCTCCCGAACACTGCATTCACTAATATCTGGTCTCCCCGAACCCTGCATTCACTAATATCTGGTCATCCCCAGACCTTGCATTCACTATATCTGGTCTCCCCCCGACCCTGCATTCACTATAACTGGTCTCCCGGACCCTACATTCACTATATCTGGTCTCCCTGGACCCTGCATTCACTATATCTGGTCTCCCGGTACCCTGCATTCACTATATCTGGTCTCCCCGGACCTGCATTCACTATATCTGGTCTCCAGGACCCCGCATTCCACTATACTCGGTCTCCCCGGACCCCGCACTCACTTTTTCCGTCTCCCAGACCCTGCATTCACTATATCCGGTCTCCCCGGACCCTATATTCACTATATCCGCTCTCCCTGGACCCTGCATTCACTATATCCGGTCTCCCCGGGGACCCTGCATTCCCGTTATATCTGGTCTCCCGCCCGTCCCTGCATTTACTATATCCACTCTCCCTGGACCCTGCATTTCAATATATCTGGTCTTCCCAGACCCTGCATTCACTATATCTGGTCTCCCTCGGACCCTGCAGTCACTATATCCGCTCTCCGTGGACCCTGCATTCACTATATCTGGTCTCCCCATGACCTGCATTCCACTATATCTGGTCTCCCGGACCCTGCATTCACTATATATGGTCTCCCCCGGACCCTGCATTCACTATATCTGGTCTCCCAGGACCCTGCATTCACATATATCTGGTCTCCCAGGACCCTGCATTCACTATATCTGGTCTCCCAGACCCTGCATTCACTATATCTGGTCTCCCCGGACCCTGCAGTCCACTATATCTGGTCTCCCCCGGACCCTGCATTCACTATATCCGCTCTCCCCGGACCCTGCATTCACAATATCCGGTCTCCCGGACCCTGCATTCACTATATGTGGTCTCCCCGGACCCCGCATTCACTATATCCGCTCTCCCTGGACCCGCATTCACTATATCTGGTCTCCCTGGACCCTGCATTCACTATATCTGGTCTTCCCAGACCCTGCATTTCACTATATCTGGTTCTCCCCGGACCCTGCAGTCACTATATCCGCTCTCTCCTGGACCCTGCATTCACTATATCTGGTCTCCCTGGACCCTTGCATTCACTATATCTGGTCTCCCCGGACCCTGCATTCACTATATCTGGTCTCCCAGGACCCTGCATTCACTATATCTGGTCTCCCAGACCCCGCCATTCACTATATCTGGTCTCCTCGGACCCCGCATTCACTATATCCGGTCTCCCCAGACCCCTGCATTCACTATATCCTGTCTCCCCGGACCCTATATTCACTATATCCGCTCTCCTGGACCCTGCATTCACTATATCTGGTCTCCCCGGACTCTGCATTCCTATATCTGGTCTCCCGGACCTGCATTCACTATATCCACTCTCCTGGACCTGCATTCACTATATCTGGTCTTCCCAGCCCTGCATTCACTATATCTGGTCTCCCCGGACCCTGCAGTCACTTATATCCGCTCTCCCTGGACCTGCATTCACTATATGTGGTCTCCCCGGACCCTGCATTCACTATATCCGCTCTCGCCGGACCCTGCATTACTATATCTGGTCTCCTGAACCCTGCATTAAATTTATCTGGTCTCCTAGGACCCGCATTCACTAAATCTGTCTCCCCGGACCCTGCTTCACTATATATCTGGTCTCCTGAACCCTGCATTCACTATATCTGGTCTCCCCGGACCCTTCATTCACTATATTCTGGTCTCCCCGACCCTGCATTCACTATATCTGCTCTCCCGGACCCTGCATTCACTATATCTGGTCTCCCGGACCCTGCATTACTATATCCTGGTCTCCTAGGACCCCGCATTCACTAAATCTGGTCTCCCGGACCCTGCATTCACTATATCTGGTCTCCTCCGAACCCTGCATTCACTATATCTGGTCTCCCGGACCTGCATTCACTATATCTCCGCTCTCCCCCACCCTGCATTCACTATATCTGGTCTCCCAGGACCCTGCATTCACTATATCTGGTCTCCCCGGACCTGCATTCACTATATCGCTCTCCCCCAATCCCTGCATTCACTATATCTGGTCTCCCAGGACCCTGCATTCACTATATCTGGTCTCCTAGGACCCTGCATTCACTATATCTGGTCTCCCACAGTACACACAACATGGAAATACAATTAACTGAAAAAATAGGAAGAATCCTCCTGTGCTACAACTACACACTGATAGAAAGATCTAAGAAAGGCAGCAAGCACCCAGCTATATACCGAAATAGAGAAAAATACAGAAGAAGGGGGATGGTGCTGCGCTAACAAACACAGGGGAATCAAAATGACTACAGATGGTGAATGTAGAAAAAAACTTTTTTAGTTTGTTTAGCAAAAAATAAAAACCCCCAGTGGTGATTAACCAAATAACAAAAGAAAGCTCTATTTGTCTCAGAAAAAAGATAAAAAATGTTTGGGTGCAGTGTTGCATGAGAGTGCAATTGTCATTCAAAGTGTGACAGCGCTGAAAGCTGAAAATTGGCCGGGGCGGGAAGGGGTTAAAAGAGCCCTGTAGGCAAGTGGATTAAAGTAGAACTAAGGCCCCATTCCACACTTTGCGATCTGTAATCGTGGACGAAATTGGCAGGAGTTCGCTGCAATGCTTGATGTACATTTGGTGCCATTCGTTCAAAATAGCACCCAAACACAATGCGGGCTTTGCCACAAACTGTCACGTTCAATTGCAGCAAAACGTACCGTTACAAATGGTGTGAAGCTTGGAGCAAGAGCTTCTTTTGGGTAACAAATGTGCATAGGGCAACCCATGAAGTCAACGCCCTATGTGCGATACTCATGGAATCACGTGGAAATTGCCCACACAAAATCACATAGGCTACGTGAAGGTGTGATTGGGGCCTAAAGCTTGATTTTGTGAGAAAGAGATACAGTATGTCATTGGGTGAAAGGGAGACTTGGTGGTGTGACGCTGGACTTAACAGGCTCTCTAGATAATGTGTATCTTATGGAAAGTAGTTCTGTAAGGATCTCAGTAACAGATTGCAATAGAAGTAATGAAAAATCAGCGCAAATACTGGACCAAAGTCCGAAAAAGTCTAGTAGTATTTAGAAATAGTCCGGGTTGAACTTGGATAAGGGGGGTCCGTGTGGTGGCACTTAAGGCAAGCTCCATGCAGTACTGTAGCAGACTCTGTGTAGTAAGGAGAGAAGAAGAAGCGCCTCTAAGTGCAGCAGACCACTTTAATATATAATAAAAAAAGTAGGAACACTCACATGGTAGTAGAGTAATCTGTCTCCCTCCTGAACCACGCTCCCTACCACTGAGACGCAGACGATACAGGCACAAGTGACAGCTGTTCCACATGGTGTTTCTACACCACAATACCCTACATGCTTTTATTACTCTACTACCATGTGAGTGTTCATTTCATGCTGGTACATGGTGCAAAGCTAAATTACCTAAAAATGATCTCTCAGGCAGCCCAATTGGTCAGATCTCTGCACTTCACATACCCAGGTCTACGCACCTGCTGTGGCCATCATGAGGCCATAAACTAAGGCATGTTCGATCCTAGTTAAAACTCACCTCCGTAATCCCAGAAGGTAGCTGTAACTATGCTTGGCCAAACATAAATTCTGCTCCAGTTATGCAAGGAAGTGTGTACGTGAGACTGCAGGGTGGGGAATGCCTTGGATGCTTATGATTGGCTAAGCAGAGTGACAGGTTTCTGGTGGGATTGTTCAGGTGGACTAGGATCCAAACACGCCTGAGATCATCCCTAGAGAAGGGTCCTGCTCTCCTTGAATAAAGCAAAAATAGGAGCTGGAACACAGAATGGTAGATGGGAACATCCAGAACTCCCAGGTTAAAGGATAAGTTTAACTTTTGACAAAAAATAATAGGTGCACATTTTTTTGCAGATAAAAATATGTGCGTTTATCATTTTTGTTGCAGGAGCCTGTAAACATTGCACCAGCGATCAGCAGATCACCATGCAGGTCTCTTGTAGACCTGTCAGTATGTTTGATTGCCTGTATGGGATGTTCGGACAAACAGATATACTGACAGGAAGAATCAATGAACTATCACAGCACAATGAGAACTACAAACCGACAGCCGCTAAGGATGTCAGCACTTGTAGTTCAATCATACACAGAATTGATTGGGAGGGGGGGGCATGTTACATCATAGCTTTTTACAAAATCCACAAGATTCAAATAAGCATCAGTCACTCGTAATACAGGCTTACCTCGGTTTACGAATTTAATTTGTTCTGCGGGACTTTTCGTATTGCGAAAAATTTGGAAACCGAAACGTGGTTTCCCATAGGAATGCACTGAAAACCAATTAATCTGTTCCAGAGGTCAGAAAAAAGTAAAAAAAAAGTATTTTATCTGTTTAAAACTCTTTATAAACTGCACTTTAAAGGCATAAATACTGTACAGGGACATGATTAAAAATTAATTCGTAAATGCATTGAAAACCAATTTATCCATTCCGGAGGTCAGAAAAAAGTCAAAAAAGGTTTTATCTGTTCAAAACTCTTTATAAAGTGCACTTTAAAGGCATAAAGGGACATGATTAAAAAGAAATTTGTAAATGCATTAAAAACCAATTAATACGTTCCGGAGGTCAGAAAAAAAGTAAAAAAAAAAGTCTTATCTGTTCAAAACTCTTTATAAAGTGCACTTTAAAGGCATAGTACTGTACAATGATTAAAAACAATTTGTGCACTTAAAAAAAAGTAAAAAAAAGTCTTATCTGGAAAGTGCACTTTAAAGGAATAATACTGTACAGGGACATGATTACAAAAAAATTGTAAATGCATTGAAAACCAAGTAATCCATTCGTATTGTGAAAAAAATTCATAAACTGAGGCATTATTTTCATTTGTAAACTGAAAATCACGTTAACCGAGGAGTTCGTAAACCGAGGTATGCTTGTACTTAATTTTCATTCAAAAGCTACAGATCATGTGTAGCCAGCTGCTGGGCTACAGCAATATGGAGAAGGAGACATTGCCATTTATTCTCTCCCTCTACTGAGATACTGACGTTATGCTGTACCATCCTCCTCTGGCCAGCAGGAGGAGAGCTAAAGCCATGAAAGCCCATAGACTTCTATGTAGAGTCCTGAGAATCATGGGAGTTGTAGTTTGAGATGGCAGCCGTATGATGGCTACACTATATTGGTTACAATACAGATCCCAGTATGCACTGTGAAGTAGGAGGAATGGAGAGATGATTTTTAATAAATTGTCTGGGAAAGTTCTTCCTCTTGGCACCAAAGTAGTTGGAGAGATAGAGCACATCTGTGTGAATATTTGCCTGCCAGAGGGAGACTATACCAGTGGAGATGAGAACCTGAGTGTGGTAGTGAGTGTGACGGAACGCAGCGCCCGACCCCAGCCCTTCTCACCAACTCGTGACCAAAGGACCAGCCGATCTCACACCACGCTGTCACTTGCCTAACAATGCCACTCTCAGCTGTGCCCTGCACAAAGATTTTCCAGCTCGTGGGACTACAGTCTATGTGCCAACAGCCTGAGAGCGATTGTTACTGGGTCAGGTTAATTACGCAATTAACCCTTCACACTGCCAACACCACTGTCACCGCAGCCGGATAAATTCAGAGGATTATTACATACAGTAGCACTCTACAAGAGACAGGGATTCTTTAGTTTGCATTAAAAGCTTTAGAGACAGTTTCAACACTTTTCAAAATAGGATTTATTACTAAAAAGGTCAAAATGGTGCAATTAAAATATTTACAGAAAAAGATGTAACAAAGATATAAAGAGAACAATAAAACAAGAAAGAAAGAAAAGAAAGGAGTTCAGAAGGCAGAATACTTGCAAAAGTCCTTGGTTTGAGCAGAGTCCAATTGTCTGAACAAAAAGATTGCCTTGGCTCTCAAGTCTCTTAGATGGTTCCTAATTGATGTTAAACGAGAGCTGTCTTTCTCCAGGCTGTCAGTCTTTTTCTATTATATCAAAGGGGTGTCTCCTGAGAACAAATGACCAATCATCCAGTTTTGGGATGTGTGTTAGGCAGTAACCAAGGTTATGACCAAATCCCTTACAATTTCATAGTAAGGTCAATAACCTTCAATAGGTACAGGTAGCATCCTAGCAACTGGCAGATTAATATTTAGAATTATATTCCAAACGCAAAGATACCAAACATAGCGTATCCTTGTCACCCAGGATAAAAGAGACTGCTTCTTCTCTCTTGTAGGTACTAATATAGTGATGTAAGGGCTTGTGTGATTCATATCAAAATGATCTATCCGAAATATATACTTCATATTAATGTGCCCAGTTCCTGCTGAAGTTTATGAATTGTATGAAAAATGACTCATATGGAATGTACGTTTTATGGCACGCTCTAGCCCTAATGGCCTAACAGGTCATGACTGACTGAGTTATTGTTTTACAATCGGGCAGAGGAAAGTGGTTTTTCAAAGAAGACCCCTGGAACCAGACTAATTAGTGGTTTACAGCCCTGGAGTTTATCTATCTGTGTTTTATTTAGGATAAGAGATCCTCTTAACCTCCGTTCAACTTATAGCTATGCATTCCATTGAAAAGGGAGGAGGGAGGACAGGAGAGAACATGGCTGAGACCTAACAAGATGGCTGTCATGTACAGCGTCCATGCCTCTATGGCGCACAATCGTCACAGTGAGGACACCCGGGGCAGAGCA